TCGACCATTATGAGTCTGAGGAAGCTGAGGTACTAAACTGGGTAGGCACTGATGATGTATCTAAGTGTTTTGCCATGAACTTTCTCATTTCTGTTCTTGAGAAAAAGAAGGCCAATTATAAGGGCAAGGTTGTCCTCATTTCTACTCCCCCAGAAGAGCCAGTGAAACCTCTTGCAGATAATGAGATTGATGCGTTCGAAACCTGGTTATTTACAAAGAAGGCAAGGGAATCTGTGGACCCTAACTTTGTCACTGGGGAATCTTCTACACCTAAGGATGAAGGCACTGCATTGATGGACCTCATCTGTGAATGGCGAACATCTCTGGTGGAAGACCATGTCCTTGAGGTAATGCCTTCCTCTCCTTCTGTACCTATTCCTTCAGAACCCCTTATTCCTATTTCTTCCAAATCCCCTTCTGTGCAAAAACTCCCAACACCACAACAGAGCACCCCCTTACCCTAACAGAAAACCCCATCTGCACAGAAAACCCCCACTCCCCAAAAATCCTCAACCTCCAAATCCAAACCCTCTTCACCCTGCAAACAGTTTACCCCAACAAAGAACAGATCTCCTTCTCCTCCCCCATCACCTCAACACCAGATTATTCCAACCCAACCTCAACAGATTACCTCTTCATCTCAACCATCTCAACAGAAATCCCATTCACCTCAAAAGTCTAAGCACCAGAATGCCAAAACTGTTTCTCCTCCACAACAGCAACCCCCAACTCAGCAAAAACCAATCTGGTACCTGAGATCCTCTGACCCTACAACCGTCTCTCCTGTTTCTGCACCCCTGGCTATTCTAGGCAATCTACAGCACCCAACCCTTCCTTTCACAGAAAGAAGAAGGTGATCAGAAACAGAATCCCCATTTACTCCTCCTGTGAGGACTCTTCTGACATGGAGGGATTCATTATCAGCAAGTCCAACCAAGCTACCTCCAAAAGTCAGAAGACCCCCCCTCTGACTGAACTAGAGCTTGAAATGCATGTACAATATCTCTCCTCTGTCCAAGAACATCACCCTATGCCTAAGGGAAGAGGCTTAGAGATGCCTAACTCTGCTGGACAAGAGAATCAGATTCCCTTCAACGATTTTGTGGCTGCAGCAGAAGACTTTGGTGGACAGATGCTGGAAGGAATGAACAAGCTTGTGCTCATCAATGATAAACATTATGAGCATCTAACTCAGGTCAATGCAACTCTTGAATCTGGCTTCAAGCACCTATCAGACACTCTTGCAACTTCCCTACAGAATTTCACGACCTCCTCCAATGCAAAAGTTGCTGCCATCTCCAATGAAGTGGTCAATGTCAAGACAGTTCTTTCATCCATGAATCAAACTCTGAACTCTCAGCATACCACTCTTACAACCCTCACTCAAGTTGTTCACTCACTACAGAGGTCTGATATCCAAATCCAAGAGAACCTCAAGAGTCTTCACACTCTCTGCAAGGAACAATCTGACTAAGGCAAGTTCCTCCTGGCTGCTGACAAAGAAAGGTATCAGAAGATGGTTCTGTTGAAAGCTAGCAACAAAGACATCCTCTCTGCTATTCACAAGCAGCAAGGATTGATAGAGGGACTTACCTCTGTTACTCAAACTCTGCCAGAAACGCTTGAGCAAATTGCTTCTACTCAGGCTTCAGAGTTCCAGAAGCTTTCCTTACTGATTGGTGATCTGGATGATGCCAAAAAGGGGGAAGAGGACCCTCATCATCCTAAGCCTCGCCCTATCAGAACTTCTGTCAAAGCATCTTCTTCTGTTGAACCAACTGTTGATCCTGCACCATATTTTGAAGCAGCCATTCAGAAGAAGCGATTAGCTGGCATTTCTAGACCCCACTCTCCTCCCAGGAAGGGCACCAAAAAGAAGAAGGCTTTGAACTTCAGAGAATGGAGATTGGGTGGTTCTCAGAAAATTGATAGAATTCAGTTTGAGGAAATGAAGGAGAAGATGACCCCAATGCAGCAGCAGAACCTATATCTTGACAGAGATGGTCTGGTGAAGGTCAGACATGGTGGCTCCTTGGAAGAAGCTGAATTTTTGTACCTCAACAAAATTCTCCCCGGAAAGGACATTCATGAAGGTGTTCTTAGTTATCTGGATTGCAAGCTCTCACCTATCTGGGCCTCACATCAGAGCTCTGGCAATCTTGTAGGAATTCGAGAAGCTGTCAATGCAGAGCTAAAGAGATTGCAAGAACTGGAAGATCAAGCCTTAGCTGCAGCTGAAAGGGAGAATCTGTAAAGGAATATCCTTGTAAACCTTTTCCTTAATAAAAGAACTCCTCTGCCTTTCAATATGTAAGGCAATTACTCCTTATCTGTTCTTACTGTTTGCTTTGTATGTCTATCTTCTAAATTCTGTTTATCTTGTTTTGTTATCTGCTATCTTGAATGTACCGTACTCTTACTATTTTCTTATGCCAAGTTGCCCACCAAGATTTTAATGAAAGTTTTATATTTTAATTCTTTATGGTGAAGGCACTTCTCTGGAAATAGTTAAAAGGTTTTGGCATCATCAAAAGGGGGAAATTGTAAGGAATAATTGTAATTAGATTTTGATGATGCTATATTAATTAGAAATTTAGAGTACCCCCTCTTTAGTACTTTGTATTAGAAATTTTCCTTTGTAAAGTTTCTTAGAATAGTCGACTGACAGAAGACCTCCTATCAGAAGACCTTTGGCCCTCTGCTTCAGACAGAAGACCTCTGGGTCTCTGTTAGCTCTTACACGGACAGAAACCCTGCTGGTTCTCTGTTGAACATATCTTCGCCAGAAACCCTCAAGACTCTGTTAGTTCGCCTCTTCGACAGAAACCCTCAAGACTCTCTGATAGCTTTCTCCAACAAAAGTGTTCAAGTCCTTCTCTTATCGACTCTCTGCTAAAGACACCAGAAGGCCTGAGACTTAGAGAATTTTCTCAAGCCGGTGAAACCAACTAAAGATTCCTTCAACGACTAGGAGTCATAAACGGAAAAGCTACAGTACGCGCATTAAATGCACATTTAATGCATCCCGTACCCTGTAGAGTAAATGCAGATGATTGGCCGCAATGTCAGGATAGCTTTATCCCAAAATAGTAACCCGCCAACTTTGCTGGGTCCCACTGGTCAAGTCAACTGCTCGCACATTTAATGCAGTTGTCCTCCTCCTCCTCCAACGGGAAGACAACCTCAGTATAAAAGATACACTATGAAGAACAACCGGATAACTTTGCTGCAACATTGCGAATACAGAAACATTCAAACATTCAAAACGCACAAGCCTCCTTGAGATTAAATCTTCATCATCTTCTACAAGAGAAGGCAGACGTTGGAAAGATTATCTACTCACATCTTTTCATTTCCAACTCAAGCAAAGTTTCATTCGTTCTTCAACACTTCAAGCACTTCAACAAATACATCTTTTGTGACGAAGCAAGTTGGAGGAACCCCTGTTTCATCTAGAAACTCTTCTCTAACGAGAAGGACGTCCAAGTAACTGGAGCAGTGAAGTGGTGATACTTCCGGGAAGCTCAGCGAAAGGACCAGTCTTAAAGGAATCTAGGAAGTGCATCCCAGGAGACATCTACACTTGAAGAAGACGTGGAGAGCTTCTTAAGTGCTAGGACTAAGGCGTTGTAAACGGACGTTTTTACAAGCTTAGTGGAACAGTGGATTAGAGGAACGAGTTGTTCCTTGAACCACTATAAAAATCCCCGGTGTCATTTACTTACTGCATTTTTTATCGCACTTAGTTAGAACTGATTAACTCCAAAGACTTGGTCTCTGTGTTCAGCAGAACGTGTCTTGTGAGTTAACAGAAGGCCTACTGCCTTTGCTTCTCTGAGGCTAATCGAACAGAACCCCTACCAGAACCCCATCCGCTGCCAGTCTGTTCTGTCAACAGAACAGGCTATTCTGTTAAATCTGGTACTTAGCTTGGAAAGTTAAAAACCAGTACAGTCTATTCACCCCCCTCTAGACTGTACCCAGTATAACCGGGACCAACAATTTTTCCATCATTTGCAATGGAGCCAAAGATTCATTTTTTTGGCTTGAGATTATGATGGAATAAAGCAAAATGGCTCACTAAACTGTCTGCGCTTCTTGGTTATGGAGCAGCAGTCAATCCATGCAATTTTGGACGCGATTTTCACTATGGGTCATCCGTAAACAGTCTCTCTGTGCTTTAGTACAGGGGTAAGATTGCGTACATCCGACCCCCCTTACCCCACCGTAGGTGGGAGCCTTTGCGGCACTGGGGTAAATGAAAATGAAAAAAATGAAAATGATTGCAATGGAGCCAAAGATTCATTATTTTTTGGCTTGAGATTATGATGGAATAAAGCAAAATGACTCACTAAACTGTCTGCGCTTCTTTGTTATGAAGCAACAGTCAGTCCATGCAATTTTGGACGGGTTTTCACTATGGGTCATCCGGAAACAGTCTCTCTGTGCTTTAGTACATGAGTAAGACTACGTACATCCGACCCCCCTTACCCCACCGTAGGTGGGAGCCTTTGCGGCACTGGGGTAAATGAAAATGAAAAAATGAATTAATGGTGTAGAATTATGTAGAATATCTTAATTGTAGAAGAGTCTAGATACTTTTGTACTAGTATAAATAGAGTTCCACCCATCATCACTTTGTATAAAGCAAAACAAATCAAGCCAATTTGAGTTGTTCTAATAAAAATAGTTCTTCCTCTTTGTTCAAATATCTCTTTCATAATATTTTTAATTTATCCCAAATCTTCGTTAACTTATTTCCAACCACTTATCATAGTCAATCCACTAACGTATACTCCCTATCTTGCTAAACTCAAATGAAAGGGTTGGGCCTTTGGAATTGAAAGGATAAACAATTTGAAAGGATAGAGTCTATATTACTAAAGTTTCCAAATGGGACTAGTTTTACCAATTCTCATACTTCCGGGTAAAAAATGCATTCTGGAAAAAAGTGAAGGTTTCAAAAGTGTTTTCCGCTCGTTGGGTCCATCAGACCATAACATGCATCATATCCAGTGTAGTTAATTCACCCCACCGTTTCTTCATTCTCTCACTTCATTCAAAAATCATAATCATCATCAGTCTCTTCTCTTCTCTTGAGGTCTCGGTAGTATATAGTGCATTCAATAGGCAGCCCTTTTTACTCGAGCAGTCTTAAAAACCTCATTGGTTCTCCTTTTTCAATTCCACATTCCTCCAGTCTCCTTTTGTCCGTTTGTGAATGTTCATTCACTGAGAAACAAGCTCTTTCGTTTCCTTTCCTTGTTTGCATAATTTGCATTTGTAATATCAGAAGATACTACTCTGAGGACTTCATAACGACTATCCCACCGGTACTTCCGTGTGATTAAGAAGGTTCGTTCTTGATATATGAAACCATCCCCAATTTTTTTGAGAACATATCATTATATAGGTGTGTGTGCATAGACTAGCATGAACCAAAGATTCGAGCTTTTCTTGAATTTTCAGCCTGAAACTAAAAGGTGGAATCTTCATTTTCTTGTGGGTAAAGTGGATTTTTTGCTTGATCAAGGTATTAAATGACTTTTTGTGTTCCTTTAGCTTATTAGATAAAGAGGTTGTGTGTAAAGGCTAGCATGAGCTAAATTAAAGATTCCAGCTTTTCTTGAATTCTCAACCTGAAACTAAAAGGTGGAGTCTTTATCTTGGTTTGGCTAGAATGGAGGGTGGGTTTTGGCTAATTAAGGTAATAGTTAACTTTCTGTGGTGTTTTAGCTGATCAGTTAAGGAGGCTGTGTGTATGTAGGCTAGCGTGAGCCAAAGATTCCAGCTTTTCTTAAATTTTCAGCCTGAAACTAAAAGGTGGAGTCTTTATCCTGTTTTGGCTAAAATGGAGTGTGGGTTTTACTTAATTTACACTAAAATTGACTTTTTGTGGTGTTTTAGTAGGTCAATTAAGGAAGAGGAGGAAGAAATGGAGCCAAGACAGAGTGAGGAGGCGATAGTAGTGCCTTCGATAATCAGGGGAACTCTTCATGAAGAGCTTGAGGATCAAAGAGATGAAGGGGATTTTATTAACCAAGAACCAAGGCTTAATCTCAAAAGCTTTCTTTGGCATGGAGGATCTGTTTATGATGCTTGGTTCAGCTGTGCTTCAAATCAGGTGAGTACTATTTCCTTTGCTGCCAGTATGATTACAATTTTTTACAGAGGCAAAAAACCAGCAAATTAATTCCTGGGGAAAAGATGTAAATTAATTATGGTGAGAATTGGGCTATTCTTTTTCAGGTTGCCCAGGTTCTTTTAACTTTGCCGTATTCATTTTCCCAAATGGGAATGCTCTCAGGAGTGATTCTGCAGATCTTTTATGGTGTTCTGGGAAGTTGGACTGCTTATTTGATCTCTGTACTCTATGTGGAGTACAGAACCAGAAAAGAGAAGGAGAATGTCAGCTTCAAGAACCATGTTATCCAGGTTAATTATTTTGCTTCAAATAAATAATTCGAAGTACTTCAATTCGTACTTCCAATTCTTTAAATAAATCTTTTCATTATTAGGTAGTGGATTGGGACGTGTAGGGAAATATAGAAAACAATTTATGAAATATACTTGCATCGAAAGTGAATTAAACAAAATAATGCCGTGCATTTGATAGACAGGTTAGACCTGTGACATTCATTTATTTAAGCAACTTAAAAAACGTACCTCATATATTTTTCACTTTTATGGCCTATTTGATAGAAGTACGGATTTTGTTTTTCATTTGACCCGGTGCCGCAAAGGCTCTCACCTACGGTAGGGTAAGGGGAGGTCGGATGTACGCAGTCTTACCCCTGTACTAAACCACACAGAGACTGTTTCCGGATGACCCATAGTGAAAATCGTGTCCAAAATTGCATGGACTGATTGCTGCTCCATAACAAAGAAGCGCAGACATTTTAGTGAGCCATTTTGCTTTATTCCATCATAATCTCAAGCCAAAAAATAATGAATCTTTGACTCCATTGCAAATGATGGAAAAGTATTTTATAAGGAAAAGTATTTTATAAGTGAGCTCATATGAGTACAAATGGTAACCAAAATGGGGTATCTATAGTATTTTTGATCAGTTGTAGCCTAATACAGAGTATGTATATCAAAAGCTAGTGACTGTAATTAGCTTATTCTATTGATTAGTAATAAGCCGGCTACCAAACATGCATATCCCATTTGTTAAAAGCTAAAATAATTGAATTTCATGAAAATTTTGCTTAATTCATAAACGTCCTGAATCATTGACAGTAATTATCCATACACATATCAATCCCTTTGATATCACGCGTATGGCGATAATTTGACTGAGTGAAGAGTTATTTGTCTCGAAATGATCCAAGTTTTTGTTAGTCACTAATAATTGAAACATACTCCGGTATTTAGAAATTACACTAAATTGGGTAAAAATCCAATTTGAATTTGACAAATAGTGTTTATTAGAAATTTATAAAAAATTGATCCTAGAACCGCACGGGTAGCTCAGCTGGTCAAGTGGTGGGAAAATTGGACCAAGTGACCAAGGTTCGAAACCTGCAGCGGCGTGTGAGGTTACAGAAACTGAAATAAGGCTGAACCTTTGGTGCACACGTGTATAAGGCCTACCGCCGCTTCACTGATAGAGTCACTGTGATTAACCTCCCCACCATCCTGTCGGGTCGGGGGTGGGGACTCCTGAGGTGGGAGATTCCACCTTTTGGATCAAGGAAAAATAACTCGGGAGGGAGGAGTATATTTTATTATTAGGTTAAAAGAAGTCATTTATGCAAAAAGCTACACTTTTCAGTAACTTCTATTCATTGCTCACAATATGTATCACCAAACAGGCACATAACACCTCTTTTCAGAAAATATGTACTCCATACAATATTATTATTAATATTATTACTAATGTATTATTACTATTATTATGTCTATGTATATGTAGTGGTTTGAAGTGTTGGATGGGTTGTTGGGGCCCAAATGGAAAGCAGTGGGACTGGCATTCAATTGTACCTTCCTTCTATTTGGTTCAGTCATTCAGCTCATAGCTTGTGCCAGGTTCTCCTGCTCATTGATACCCTCCCTAGTCCCTTCCTCTTCATCATTTTAGCTGTCCTCCTTTTATTAGACAATTCAAAGTTTCACTTATACTTTTTTAAATTAAAGTTTCACTTATAATTAACAAAATTTGATGTTTTATTTGATTTTAAAATATTTGCAGCAATATATACTACATTAATGACCGGCTGGACAAGAGAACGTGGACTTACATCTTTGGAGCGTGCTGTGCAACCACTGTGTTTATCCCATCTTTTCACAACTATAGGTTATGGTCCTTTCTTGGATTGGGCATGACAACTTACACCGCATGGTATTTGACCATTGGAGCCATTCTTCATGGCCAGGTACTATTATTGACCAAAATATATACTTCCTCCGTCCCTTATAACTTTGTCAACTTTCCTTTTTTGAATTTGTGGTTCTAGTTAATTCTGTCTCCTCTGCACAAACCTCAACCACACAATTTTTACTTTATTAATCCCAATGCCGGTCAAACTTGACAAAGTATTGAGGGACGGAGGGAATATTATGTACGTGTTTTTCCCCAAAATAATGTTAAATGAAAAAGTATAAATTAGAATCAGGTTAAAAATATTTCTAAGATGTGATAGTTTTGATCACCGTTAAGCAAAGAAAAGGACACTATAGAGTCCAAGACTAAAGAGAAGAAAAGCACTATGGGTTCCACTCAAATAAAAACCCTATTTTTAACTGCTATAACTTTTTTGTAATTTTTTGAATATTTTTCTCGTATATTTTATAATGATCAATTGTACAAAAAATACAAGCCATTATTTTTATTTTATTCATACATTAGTCATTATTTCCTATTTTAACACGTGATAGTTTTGATCCCGACCCGCAGTCGTTTGTGTGTTTGGGCCGGGAACACTCCATAGCTCTTGGTTTTGGCCCAGATAAATCACAGTTCTTTTAACAAGAATGTTAACTTGCACACGCTGGCTTAAATGCGCGTTTACATGTCAGATTTTTTTATTTGTGGATACATAATTGATTTTTATTTTAGTAAAGAGAACTCAACGTGTACAAATAACATTTTGGATCTTTTATTAATTTAATCCATGAAAACACTATAATTGCTACTTTACTGGCATGAGCTTATATGTTTTTCCCTCCGCTTTATAGGTTGAAGGTGTTACTCATAGCGGCCCTAGAAAGTTGGTACTTTATTTTACAGGCGCGACCAACATACTCTACACTTTCGGTGGACATGCAGTCACTGTGTGAGTAAATTATTACCCTCCCCCAACTGTTAAATTTCATAATAAATTTTACCATAAGAAATGAGTTGTTTACAATGATTATGTATCCATGCGAGAACAACCCTTGATGATGAAAAAGGGGCATAAAACTGCACGGTTTCAAATTTAGAATAGTCATTATTGTGAAAGTACATAATCCCATACAGTAGTCAGTCAACTAAACAAAAAACTTAAGGTCTTTTATTCTTCAAATTATTGGACATTAAAATAGTAATTTTGGTGGCATCCAATGATATAAGTTTATTAATTAATTGTGCAAGTTTCCTAACTTTTGCCCACGATGTCTTTACTTTGGACTTTCTGCTAGTCTTATTTAGTCAACCCACATTCCGCAATTTGTTGACTTAAGTACACTAATTGATAATGACATGCATGATTTCAGATATCAAACATGGAGATCTTCCACTTTTTGAATTTCATTTATCAGATTTTCTTTTGCACTAAAGTTGCATTTTATGTCATGACAAAAAAGATGTACTCTATGTTACATGAATTATTAAAGATAAATCATTAACAACTATTGAATATAAATATACAAATCAAAGCATAAATTAATATAATCTTGATTTTTTTTCAGGGAAATCATGCATGCTATGTGGAAACCTCAAAAGTTCAAGTACATCTATCTATTTGCCACACTTTATGTCTTCACCTTGACACTTCCATCTGCCTCGGCCATGTATTGGGCATTCGGGGATCAGCTTCTCAACTATGCCAATGCTTTCGCTCTCCTACCTCGAAACGGTTTCCGTGATGCCGCCGTGATTCTTATGCTAATACATCAGGTCGGTCTTCACCTAAATACATTAATATATATATATATATATATAGGAGTGAGATCACATACAACCATGCTTAACTTACTAACCTACAAACTCAATAATTTGCAACACTTTGAACTTCAATATGCAGTATAAATAATGTAAAGATGCACTCTTTGAATTTCAATCCGCAATACAAATAATGTAAATATGAAACTGCTATTTTATGGCTTGAATAATATGAAACATTTTGAACTTCAATGTGTAATACAAATAATGTAAAGATGATTTGAATCGGAGGACTAGTTTGTATGTGATCCCACCCCTGCATCTTTACATTATTTTTACTGCAGATTGAAGTTTAAAGTGATGCATATTATTGAGTTTGTAGGTTAGTATTTTAAGCATGGTTTGTATTTGACCTCTTATATATATATATATATATATATATATATATTTGTGTGTGTGTGGAAACCGCTATAAGTACAAACAAACTTATAAAAAACTTAATATATAAATATTTAGTTGAGTTATTGCTTACTTGACATATAATTTCAATTTCAGTTGAAACTTTTGTGTCTAAGTTATTAGGTTTAACTTTTGGCCTTCATTCATTTTTTCTATTCTTAGCTCAGAACTATACTCCCTACGTCCCGAAAAGGTTTGCCAAATTTTCTTTTTTGGATATCTCAAAAAGATTTGCCATTTCCATTTAAATTAAAGAATATGTGGCTAAAGTTAATTCTTTCTCCTTTGCACAAATCTCATCACACAGTTTTTACTTTATTAATCCATGTGAATGTCAAAGTTAGCGAACCTTTTCCGGAAGGAGGGAATAATATATTTTCAGTTTTAGGTCTTCTTCAGCCACCTATCCGGTGAAAATGAAGTAGAAGTACTAGTACATAAATTGAATAGTTAAGTGGTCCATAGACCAAAAGTGGTAATAAATCATTATTAGTGCCATAAATGTTTAATAAATCAAACAACTGATAGTCTGACAAGTGTGTAAAAGTTTAAAGGAATGAACAACTGTGTTCTGTACTATGTTAGCATTTAACATACTCCCTCCTTTCTTAATCATATGTCGCAGCAAGGGTCTCATACATCTCAAGAAAATATGTATATGAATTTGAAATAGTAAGGGAATTTGGTATTGTAGGTTCTTTTGTGTACAATTATTTAAAAAAAAAAGGATGACACCCCATCCCTGAAGGCCCCTCAACCTTGACCGGACGGTACGTTGAGAGGATGTAAATTCGACTATAATCTCAATCTGACAGATAGAGAGTGTGGCTCTGTCTCCGGTACTTGCAGAGGCCCTATGCATTTTTAGCATAGTAACCCCTCATCGCAGTTGACGATATTCGAACCCGGGACCTAACCCTTGTGGCACTCCCTTGCTACCAGTTGAGCTACGTCCACCAGTTGTGTACAATTATTTTCAAAAAAGAAATGAGATACTTATTTAGAAACTTATCGAGTGTTACACAATTGTTTACTCCGTATATAAGAAACATGAATCTATGCAACAGGAAACATAAATGGAAATTAGATATGATAATCCTATTTTAATACTTCCTGCATTCATAAATAACTTTTTCACTTTCATTTTTTCTTCTGTTTCTCAAAAAAACTACACCAAAAGTAGTTACAATATACTTCTAAAATGTATAACACTCCAAGAATACTCAATACATCTACGTTTTCAATCGTAAATTTGTAATACCCTTTAAGTTTTAAATGTGCATTGACACTATTAACAAATATTAGACTTCTTGAACCCGTACATGGTGTGTTATTTAGGAACAAAGGGAATTAGTAGTAATATTCTTAAAAAGATCGAGTCACAGTAAAAAACGAAGTATAGTAGGATTAATTTTTTTTCATGAATCTGGTCTTGCGTGATTTAAGTTTGATTTGGTCTAATCTGATTTGGTAATGGTAAGTAATATGGAGTAATATTATGTGCATTTCTCCATTACCTAAGTTGGGTTAGTTGGTTTTGATTTGGTTTTGACAGTTCATAACATTCGGATTTGCCTGCACGCCACTATACTTCGTTTGGGAGAAAGTAATAGGGATGCACGATACAAAGAGCATGTGCTTAAGGGCACTTGCCAGGTTACCGGTGGTGATACCAATATGGTTCTTGGCCATAATATTTCCATTCTTCGGCCCTATCAACTCTGCAGTAGGGGCACTTCTAGTTAGCTTCACTGTCTACATCATCCCAGCCCTTGCTCATATGGTCACTTACAGAAAGGCGTCGGCCCGGCAGGTAACCTGTCACTTTCATTTCTCCTTTTGTACGTCCTCTCTTGCTGGTTCTGCCAAACAACCCCTCTACTCATTAACTGGCCACACCATTTCCATGATTGATCGAGTTGAGCCCAGAGTATGTTACAGTACTTTCAACCTCCATGATTGCAATATTTAGATTGATTCATTCACTCTCCATGCTTACTTTTTGCTATAATTTGGCCATCTAGTTTAGTTACAAATAAGATGAGATTAGGGTGCTAATGATGATGGTTGAGTGGTTTTAGTAAATATGGGTATTGGGTTATTTCTCATCTATGAGATTGATGTTTTAGGGTACAACTCAACTCAATATAGGATCAGGGTCAATTGAATTCTAAATCTCCAACACATAGTCCGCTATCCGGTAAGTCATAAGAACGAATACAGTAACTTTAAAATCTCAAAAAAAAAAGAATACAGTAACTTTAAGATTAGTGTGCTGTAACGAGCCACAATCCTTCGAAACATGTTAAGTCATCTTAGAGCGGTTTAATGGCAAGTTACAAACCTTCATATCAAGTCTGGCCAAATACAACAAGTGGGAACGCCTCATCTATTTGAAAAGACCAATAGAAGGGAAAAGATATTGAAAATAGACAAACTAATACTTCCTCTGTCCCCCAATTAAGTTCCCGGTTTGACTTCACACGTATTAAGAAAATAAATTTGACTTTGCTGTGGAGTGCACCGTTTTGCACTGTTCAAACACTGTTTGACACTGTTTGGCACTGTTTTGCACTGTTTTGATGTAAATAATTTGCCAAATAAGGAAAGTAAGGAAGTGTGAACTTAATTTAGAGACTGTCCAAAAAGGAAAGTGATAACTTAATTGGGGGACTGAGGGAGTAATTGTGAGATCAAAGAGTGAATTTTTTTTACTAGTAGGGTCCTTCAATGAATGATGGACTCTATCATGGTGTTTCAAGTTATGGAGACACAAGATGCAAAGGATAAGACAACACGTATGGGAAATTGGATTCTAGCATTTGGTATTTACACTATTTCCCATTCTCAAGTAACACACAGAGAGGCATGAAGACAGCTTATGGTTGGTGGTTGATGAGATTTAGAATGTTCGGTAGTGTAATTTGATGGCATTTCCAGTTATTATTATGTGTCTTAAACAATAGGCTGTCCCATCCCTGTTCTTGGCTAATCTGGTTTTCATCAACAGCTGGAACCAAATTTGGCTTCTTCTTTTTGTTCACATAAATGACACCACAAGAATCCATGACCGTGTGTATGAACGTGATAATGTACATCTCTTCCACCTAATCAGCAATATTCAAGTTCCGTATTGATATGCTCTAACTAGTGACGATTAGATATTATATATCAAAACAAATATGGAGTATTTTTTACTACCTCTGCCCCACTAGCATGAAGACACGAAAAGGTGGTGCGGGTAGGAGTGGAACCAGTCCCAGTCCGATCGCGATTCCGGTCCGATTCTGGTCCCGGTTGGTCCTGATAAGCAGTGGAGGATCTAGGGAGGTCCTAGGGGGGCAAGTGCCCCGCTTCCGATCCCGAAGTTTAAGATTAGTACTTAAAGATAAAAATTGTGCCCCCGCTACACGGTCAAAAAAATTAGAGATTATTTCATAAATATTATCGAAGTAATGAACATAAATATTACTATAATTACTATACATATTCACCATATAGATAGATTGAACACAATCATTATCACTAAATTACCATTTAAGTTACTAAGTCGTATTGCTGTCCACCATCTCTATTTCAATCATATTGTCATTATTTCAAAAAAAAACTCTAAACTATATAAGACTCCGTCGAAGACATAACAATTGCGGTATAGTAGTATAAATTATAAACAACCACGAAGTTGTGATGGAGCAAATCCTTATAGTTAGACATTGATTATTACACTTTGTTTGAAAAGTGACATTGATGAATTTCTTACTTGGTGTACATAATGGTTGTCCAAAGTTAAAGGTCAAAGATATGACAAGTGTTCTAATATGTAGGATGAGCTTAATAGATGCAAGGCTTTTATCTTGAATAGAAGTCCATACATGAAAAAATGTTTCAATTCGCGATAGATTAGTTTCAAACCAACAAACTCTTTGATTTTTTTATCTATAATATGATGAATGTTAGATATATAGAATCATATTATTAAATAAAGTTGTATTGAAGATTGAAATCATGAACATGATCTATACTTCATTTTTAACACGATAGTATTATATTCCAGACACGTACCAACAAATTTTGTGGCAAAATGTGTATCATTCGACATGATTATAGTTTAGATATGAAATCTTGATCATTTTATAGTATCAAAAGTAACGAGAATTCTAATGTATCTTTCTTTTCCAGAAACGGTGCAAAGATGATTCTTTTCTGATCCAAATTATATCTTTCTTTCAAAAAGCCATATACTACGTATATTGTTTAGAATTGTCTTAATAAGTTCAAAATTAGACTTATTTCCAGTTAAAAATAAAAAATCTGAACGCACTTGACAAAAAAGACTAATGATACACCCGATTTGACCCGACCCGACCCATTTCCATTTATGCGAGATTGCCCCCGTTTCAGAAAAGTTCTGGGTCCGCCACTGCTGATAAGTGCTTGGGGAAGCCCAGGTTTGACCCGTTAAATTCGGGTCTGTGCCGGTTCCGGTTACTGAGGTGGTCCGGTAATATTTTATTTTTCGTTTTCAAGGAGAAAAAAATATTGGTTCGGTCCCCAAAATTCAAACTCAAGACTGGACCCGCCATTTACCCGTTCAGGTACCCGATCTTGAACCGGGACCAAAAAACGGACCCATCCTCGTCCCAAATGGTGCCGGACCCGGTCTCGGGCCGGACCACCGGACCAGGTCCACCCTATGGTTGATATTGAATTGATAACGTAACAGTTAAGTAAAATTGATTTAAAATTACATGAATTTTATCAAAATTCGTATGAAGCAATCTTAGCGGGACAGTAGGAATATAAAAATATAAATTAATTTATCTTACCTTTGTAAATAGTTTGACTTTCATAACTAGATATTAATTATTAGGAAAACTGGAAAAGTATAATTATCAATATATAAACTAATTTTTTTCCCACTTGTAATTAGTTGAAACAGTTTAACTTTCGTGTTTGTCGGCGAATAACTTTGACCCCTAATACATATAGGGAGAATTCACAGAGTTAAAAGTGCAAAAATAGAAGCCAACTTTCAAACTTTCAAAATAACAATCAATTTGTGATCGGATAAAACACTTTTGTAGCGGTTGAAGCTTTTGATAAGAATCAATTTGGGATTGGATAAAACACTTTTTCTAGCGGTTGAAGCTTGATCACTACTCACTAGACTGTCGCTGGACTGCCACCAAATGAAGATTTACATTGACACATATTTTGCAATACTTTTCATAATATAATACGATAGTATTTGAATGCATCAACAAATAAAATACAACGTGAACAGAGTATTTGAACAATTGAACTATATAAAAGTTTTAAGTGTTCCAAATTTCCAACTAATAAAGAGCATATGTACCACTCGAGTGATGCATGAAGTCTTTATGGCTTCTATTGTATGATTTATTCTCTTTAATTGTATTTTGTTACTTCAAAGTACAAACCCCTTAACCAAACACCTCATATTTCCTTGATGTCATTGTTTCCCAGCTCAGTTTGTAATTCCTCCTAATCTGATGAACTCTAAATTTAATTTTCCCAGAACGCGGCAGAGAAACCACCCTTCTTTCTCCCAAGCTGGACGGCGGTGTACGCGCTGAACACATTCGTTGTTGTATGGGTGTTTGTCGTCGGGTTCGGGTTCGGAGGATGGGCAAGCATGAGCAACTTCATCAGGCAAGTTGACACCTTCGGCCTCTTCGCCAAGTGCTACCAGTGCAAGCATAATCCTCCAGTGACAAAACATCATACATAGAATACTTTTATAATAGAGATTATAACGTAATTTCATTGCATGTCTTTCTTACTCTATTGTTGTTGTAGGGGTTATTTCCCATCTTGTGTGCTGCCTTTTAGTTTACGTATTTGTGTTTAGTGTGTACAAAATTTTTAAGTAGAGTGATTGGTTTGAATTTAATTTCTTGGGCTCAAATAGCTGTTAACCCTGGAATGATCTGAACAAATTGGCTAGTATCATGCTTAATTATGTGGCATAATTTCTTCATTTTGGGCTCATATTATCATTCAACTTTCTTGATTTCATTCCCGAAGCCCAACCTGGTACAACAATCCCAATCTATTGAAGCCACAAATTCTAGAGATATTTTCGTGGAACATTTTATTTTAAATGGTTTATAAGTCTTTAAATTGAAATATTCAACCAGGAACATTTAACACTTCACCAAATCAAAAGAGCCGAACTACAGGTTCGAGAGTTTGAGACTATGTTTTGACCTCAAGTATTAAATAGTACTTCGTAAATCACTATTTTGGAACTTAGTTGTTCACATTATCATTTACGAGTTAGAGTTGATATGAACAAAAAAACTCTATTAGTTTCAAGTGTAATAAAAAGAAACTTCATTCCTAAACAATGGTGACTTATAGAGAGATCAATAGCCACTTTAAGTCTGATTGTCTGAACACTCACTTCTAAGGTGTTAACTTTCAATTTTCAATCACTTCGTATAACAAAACACCATACACAAGATTATCATAGAGGGCATTTCCACAACAACAATGTTGATGGTACACATACTTTCTACCCACATTGTGGACATCCCTTAATTGTCTGTCCACACAGACAATTGGATCACACAACTAGGAGTATGCACAATATGTACATAAAATATGTATACATTGTTGTTTCCTCAATTCAAATCTTAAAGCCAACAAAAAGGGGCACTTCCATCATTCCAACTCTCACAGCATAAAAAACCAACAAATGTGCACAGTAATCAACTACAACTTCTATACACACTAAACTGCACTAGCTCTACAAAACACTATTACCTCTTAAGTAAAGAATAAAAATACTATAAAGTTGTTTTCTTAAATCACGACAAATAGAGTTATAAGACTAAATTTTTAAATAAAAGTAAATTTACTAATATTAAGAACTTTAAATATGTTTGATTTTCAAAAAATTTAAACAGTTGCAAAATATCTAAGATTCTTAATAAATTAAAGACGGTTTTGCTTAAGAGCATAGACAGTAAATTGTAAAATCATTTCGGGAAAATTACTTAGTGGCATAGAGGCAGCAGTAAATCCATTCATATATGTAGTATAAGAAAAGAGATAGTTCATTAAAAGATAATTATACCCTTAATGAATTCTAGGCGTCCTTCTCCCCAACTTGGGCCAAAAAATTAGTACTACTTATAATATATACTTATAATATATAGATCGTATTTAATAACTCTTTTTCAAGAACTAATTACTATTTAAGGTCAATTTGAGATTAAGTGCCTTAATAAAAAAATATGAGCCCAAAGTAAAATGTAAAAATGAAAATTAAATTACAAAGGGGGGACAATTGAAAAAATGAATTTAATAATTACTTTTGAAAGAGAAAAGTGGGCAGAAGGGTAGCAAAACGAGATAAACAAATTTCAAGAATCAAACTTAATTAGTTGTCAAATTAAAAAAAACGAAAGAAGCTCAGAGAAAAGACGTGGACTGCCATGTCAGATCTTGTCAGCATGTAACCGGCTGACACGTGGGATACCTGTTAAAAATCAATTTTGACGAAAAATATATAATAGAAAGACATAATTGATGAAAATCAAAGTTGAAGTTCTTAATAGATTTTCCATACAGAGTAAAAGTGCAAATTTGAAATTTTTTCTTTCTCAAATGATGATCATCTAGCCCCATATTTAGCTTGGGTGACCGCAATAAATGTTTCGTATCGTCTCAACTTTCAATGTAGATTTAGCTTCCTGCTTGGAACCTGTTGATAATTGCGATTATTAATGTTGACTAATGATACAGTTTAATATTCTCGACAGACCCCTAAATTTTTTCTACTCATTAAAAATTACATATTGAAAAACTACGTTGAAAGCTTTATAAGGTTGCAAAATATAAATTAGAATTTTGTAGTATAATTTGATATCCTAAATAAGCAACTAAACTTTGCAAATCATTTTGAAAAGAATAGAGTAATTAAGAGGCCGTTTGGAGCACATAAATTGGGCATAAAAGTCTGAAAGTATAAAAAAACCATTAAACAGTTGTTGAATTAACTGTTTGGGCTGTTTTCTCTTATCACCCGAAAAAACAACACAATGGCTACTTTTTCAGCCGCTTTTTAATAATTAATGCATTATTTTTGACCGAAAAGACCCTTTTGCCCTTATATTATACCTGAAATATGTCTTCATTGTTCGACATATTCATATGTGGGTGCTAAGTCCAAAATCAAAAACTCCTTGCTCAGGTAGTGCCCGACACTGTATTGTTTTGAACTTTAAAGTAAAAAACAACATAATGGCTACGTATGTGTATTTCTTGTTTAGTTTTTAACTAATTATCTAAACATGTTCTCAATCTATATTTTTCAATTTAAATAGACAATTTTATTTGTAACTCTTAGTGTCTTACTGTTTTTTGAAAGTAATTACACATTTTTGTAACTTATTTGTTTAATTTAATAATGGCTGTAGTCAGATTCCTTTAAGATAATAGTGCTTCTACTCTCACTACAAGCAAAGCAAAGTATCATTTCTTAACACACAAAAAGTGTCAGGAAAAATAGGAAAAGTGTCAAGATAGACACCCTATGGGAATTGCCAACACACTTAAAGAGTGTCAAGAGGAAAGGTGTTAGGAAAAGTCATTAGTAACACTCAAACACAAGTGTTGGTAAATCTATGTACAACTTTAGTGACACACAATTGATCCAATGGTTACACAATTTTGTGTGTCAAGGAAGCATTAAGGTGACATTCGGAGTGTCAAGAAAAACCATTTTGGATAATAATAATTTGTGAACAATACATTAATTATAACTATTCCTATTGTCGTACATGTTAATAATAGTAATAATAATTTAGGATAGTATAAACTATATTCATACTAAAGCTTTAAAATTCAAATAAGCATGAAATATGTTATTCAAGTTTATTTAAAAACTAACACAAACTAAGTACAATAGTACACAAGACTAGTTCGTAGTTTGAAACATACAAATTGTATTAAGTTGTTCAATAAAAGAGCTATATACGAAATCTCTAATTACGCCCTTCGGGTTGATGGCTTCCCATTGATGACCTATTGTGTGTTGGAGAAAGTTCGCCACCGCCCTGAAAATATCACCACAAGAATAACATAAAAATTTATCTAATGATCATTAATTACAATATAATCACCTGACACACTAATTCTCATTAACTACAACTTATAAATAGGTAAGTTTTCTCCATTTTAAATTTTTTATTTCCCTAGCACTTTCCTACTTCCAAACTTTATGTCTAATTTTATTCAAATATTTGTTTTATGCATATAAAATGTCTTAAATGATGGTTCTGTAAAAATGAGTATATGCAGCGCCGTGACTAAGGTATTTACCTGTTTATTTATTCGACCGACCTCGTTTTTTTTTACTTCAGACGTTGCTTAGTATCATCAAATCACAAAGAATGAAAGAAACAATCATCAAAAGTGTTAGTGAAACTAATTTCTGAACTTCGTATTCCTAATATGATGAAAAATTATCTTGTTTTTCATTTCATTTCATAATCTTAACATGCTTTATCCGTAGCAGATATGAAGACTGGTTTACCCCTCCCTTTGCACAAGAAAATTATAGAATTGAACTTACCACTTTCGAAACATATTGTAACTTGGTATGTTAATACGTGCAGGTTTGATCATCCCCTGAATTATTTTTGTTGAACTTCCTCTGTAATGCCAATAAAAGGAAGCTGAAAATGAAAAATAAAAAATCTCATAAGGGGTATTTTGAATAAACTTAATGTGAGGTTCTTTCCTTCTCAAAGAAAAAAAAGATCAAGTCACTTTTCAATTAAACATCTCAACCAATAAGATCTTACACTCCAGTACTCCACCAATGAGCAGGCTTCTCATGGTCTTCTGTTATTCCAAAATCAGTTAGCATTACCTAAATTGCAATATGCCCAAAATCACGAGGTACTAAAGCATGTAAATCGTAAGACAACCATAAAACTTGATTTTGGAACTTAAAAGCTTCAGTTCTGGAAAAAACAATGAAAACTTAAAAACTTTAGTTCTGCAAAAATTAAGATAGTTGCTACTTAGTGTAAACAACAGAAGTCTTACCTTAATGCTTGATTCTGGAACTTTAGTAAGTTTAGTTCAATTGAACGTTGAAGATCAAACTTGAGTCATCCAGTCATTGAGCAAATTCAGTGAGGCATTTGAATATGTCATTAATTTGAGTTGATCATGAATATCCTGAAATGAAAGGATTAGCAGGATTAAAAAAAGAACTTTATGCAGAATTACTTTCCAACATGTAAGTTGCTAACCCACTCACCTCAAGCAAATAAGAGAAACATCAATAGTCTTTAAGGAAAAACAAATTCATTATCCCATTTGAAATGTATCCATAATGGGGGGGGGGGGGGGGGGGGGGGGGGAGAACAAACCGGTTCACCAAAAAGGATGCATCCCATTGAAGAGTAGGATTAGGAAGTGATACCTGTGAAGAGCTAAAAGTTTTCAATTATCATTGTTTGAGGCCTTCAACAGAAATATATAGCATGTTCGAAAAATTCTGAGCGATTTATTACCGGGCTCGAGTTGAGTTCCTTAAAACTGATGAGCTAAAAAATTAGGCTCTTGTGAAGTTTGTAGAATATAAAAGGACAAAATTAATTAATAGTAAGTAGCATTAATTACTTCGCTACTATAACATTGAATCTAGATCTGTTCCCGCTTTTAACCCCAAGCTTCTTCCATGATCTTCACTCGATGATGTCATCCTTTCACTATTTTTGATTGTGTTCCTTAATTATGAAGTCGGACGAAGGGAAGAAAACGAGCCAGACCAGCGAGCATATAGCCGATCGGGCCGGGTCGGGCCCGGGCCGGCGGTTCTATATAGCTGGACCCGGGACCGGCCCGGGTAGCCACCGGGTCCGGTCCGGGTCCGGGTTGGGCCGGGCCAGGCCTCGGTTTTTTTTTTTTTTTGCTTAGCTACCCATCCCTGACCCCCCCCCCCCCCCCCCCCCGACCCCTCCTAAACATCAAGCCCAACCCGGTGGAGCCCAAACAAATGAAAAAAACCAAAAAAAAAAATTTGGCCCGAACCGGGCTTGAGCCCGGCCGGGCCTTGTTATGGGTGACCCGAGCCCGGACGGGAAACCCACCGGGTCAGGCCTACCCGGACCGGTCACTGACCGGGCCACCGGTTCGGGCCGGGCCGGAACAGTACCGGTCCCGGGCCGGTTCCGGGTCGGGCCACCCGGCCCGAGTCCAACCCTAGACAAAAGTATTGAGCCAACATCCGTGCCAAACTTTTTAATACAATTTTGTTTTTAGGCTTTTGGCTCAAACAGGTTCTTCGTGCCAAAAGATGGCCGTTAGGATCATTCCGTGTCAAATTCCAAGCCAAAAAGTGACCATTGTGTATTCCGAGGATAATTTTCAAACGGTACGATCAAACGGATATTATCGTGCCAAAATCCGTGCCAACATAAGACCATTTTGTATGCAGTTATATTTTCCATGCCAAAATCCAAGTCAAAAGATATCTGTGCCAAATTTTGAGGGATTTGGTTGCTAAGTTTTGGACGCAAAATTCTAGACAAAAGTCATGCCAAGTGTTGACACAGATCCTATAATCCGTGCCAACACGTTTGGATCGACCCAGGTGGCACGGAAATTCGTTTCGAGCCAAAACCGAGCCAAGAGCGATAGTCTAGGAATTTTAAGGGGTTATTCGAGCCAAAATTCGTGTCTATACAGAAGTTTTTTAGTAGTGGCTCCTATTTCTCATATACTACAAGCACATCATTTACAAAAAATGTAATAGCACTGACATTTGATGAGATCATGTTTCTCAACAATACTTTTAAACTTTACGTTTTGCAAAAAAAAATTACATATAACAAGGGGCAAAGATATTTTCCATATCGTCAGTTACTTATGAACATAATTAAGCTATGTTAAGATTATCAACTTCATCGTCCTCTTCATCATCACTAATCCATCCATAACAAGGTTTTTTCAGTCGGTTGGAAGATTTAGTCTCCATCTTTGGAAGAGATGATTTAGAAGCAAAACCCACATGAAGTTGCTGTGTATCATCAATATCCTTGGCCTGCAAAGTAAAGAGAATTGAAACAATGAGATACGTAGTATGATATTTGGCTCTATACACACACACACACACACACACAAATGAAAGGGAAGTTTAATTCTGTAAAAAATAAAACTTGGAATGAAAGTTTGATAGATAATTTTACACTAATGAATGGAAAGTTATAAAGTTTCTCTCTTTTGAATGCAAGACCATGCCAATTATTTGAATTTAAAAACCAGCTTCAGGAAATTAGTCAGTAAGCATAAATGACCCATTATCTAGTTATTATCAGTAAAACTAAAGTAGCAAACAAACATGTGAGAATTTCTGGTATTCTTCTTAACAAGCACCATTAACAATACAGAACCCTAATCTTAAACATATATTAACAAAATCAAGAATTGTACTGAAGAGGGAAAAGGGCATACCACACCAAACGGTCTGGTCTCAGCTCTGATTGTTTTATCTATACATTTGCTTTGGTTTTCCATTTCTTTATCAGATACTCCAATTTCATCAATAACTTTACTATCCCTATCATAGTCTACACTAACCATCTCACTGCCCTGCTCGTTCGCTGAAGTTTCAGCGTTTCTCTGCAAATTGGAACTGTCAAGAACACATCTTTTCTCCGCATCGGGTTCTTGAACAGATTCTGTTTCTCCGCTCAACAAGGCATCAATTAGAACCCTGTATGACCCCTCTTCAATGAATATCCACCCTTCGTCTCCATAAACCTTGATACAAGAAAAAATGAGAAACCTTAACAGCATCACCTTCTCAAACCCACTTGTAAACATCACATTTGACAGTTTCACCATTCACCACCCCAATAATTTCAAGACACTTCTTAAATTTGTCATTATTGAATTTGTTTTTTGATAAAGGTTTAATGTTTTAACTCTTTCATGTTATAACACTTCAAACATGAGAATCTACTTACATTTTCTATAAAAAAAATCAGGTTTCAATAGATATATCAATTGAACTTATTTCCAACAGAAAATTACTTGGAAAAAGCAGTTCAGGCTTTTGAAGCCGGGCCTTTTATTTTATACTAAAGGAACTACCAAAAACATACCTAATTTGGCCATCGAATAAATGGAAACAGAGCAATTGATGAATCGGAAATTCGGAATAGAATCACGAGCGGAGATCAGTGGAAAGAAAAGTAGATTACTACCTTCAGGAGATCTTTGACTGATTTGCGAACGGCGTCGTTTGCAAACCCTAACGGCCGCATTGCATCTAGTGCGGCGTCAATCCGGTGCAATCCCTTCTGCGGGAAAGCTTTGAAAGTTCACACTCTAACATTTTTATACCCAATTTTGCAAATGAAAATCTTGATTTTCTGGGCATACTTTAAAAGGCAAAAACTCGCAAGAAGAAACGGATACCTTTGGGCGCTTGTTTCTGGGCGGCATGGCAGGAAAACAGAAGGACCTACGAGGAGTCCGTGAAGAGGAGTCTGCAGAACGGGGTGGGGAGAAAGGGAACAATGTATATGGGTTGATTTGATACTTTTTCACTGTGTGCTCTTTTCTATCTTCCGAGGCAGTCATGAAAATGATGAGCTCCCAACTTCCCATGCATTTTTACTTCGTATTCTGCAGGAATTACGAGGGTGTGCAACTGTGCACAAGCTTTTACTCCGGTAAGAAAAAAATGGACATTTTGAGTAACTTTTTTTCTAAACACGTAATTTTTGTTTTTCGAACGCTGAATTGTGTAATAATAAAAATAAGTAAGTTTAGAGTTACTTTTCTGACTGTATTCGCTGAAGTTATTGTAGACGGAGAAAATTACTGCCAGTGAAATCAATTCATACGACTTTTACAAAAGTAGGACTTCTTTAGTTTTTTTAAGAAAATTTATTGTTGCGTTCCACTTTTACCCTTCTTCACCTACGCCTCTCTCCTCTTCCCAGTATTCAGATCGATCGACTTCTCTCGCACCAGATCCCTTGGAGATTTCACGCTGCTGCTGCCGACTTCATCGGACGCCACCGCCATAGAGAGTTCCTCTTCCTCTTCTTCTTCTTCTTCTTCTTCTTCTTCTTCTTCTTCATATTTTCGATTTTGATTTCTAAGTTCTTAAACAAATTCCGATTCTCCAAATTTTTGGAGGATGGCTTAGATTCTGCCAAGTTAATGGCAAAATCATGTACAATCTCAATCGCAATATGGCAAAATTGCTTTTGTTTAAACTGGTATTGAATATGGCAAAATCGCAATATGACAAGATTCGAGGGACTCCTCCCTTATTCCCCGTATTCCCCTAAAATTGAGTTCAATATCCTCCCAGTTTTACATTACATGCTCTGCTATTGAGTTATTACCAGAACTTAATGTCTGTTTAATGACTACTTATTGTCTATGTATTGTCTGCTATTGAGCTATTATCAGATCTTATTGTCTTTTTAATGACTACTTACTGTCTATGTATTGTCTATTGTTTGCAAGTTTCCAATGAACAGTGTCATTGATCCTCGATTCCACCGGAACCCCGCTCCTTCGCCGGCTCTGGCGGGTCCACTTGCCTCCCTCTCTTATGCCGCCGAACCGAAGCTGAAGCTGACAGAGATGCTTCCCGTTTTGGAGTCATATGAGGAGAATTGGGGAAGGAGCTTTTGAACGTGGTCTGCTGTGGATTTTAAAAGCAAGGGCAATTTGGTCAAATTAGGTGCACTTAAGTCTTAGGTTAATCTGTAGTCTTAATTTTGGAAAATTAGTATGATTAAGTCCTACTTGTTGAAATCTCCCTTGTAGATGACCATTTTAGCTATGTTTACATATATTTTTTTCTTTATTTTATTAATAAAATATATTTAAAAAATATTTTTTTCTTAAATCAGCAGAATCAGCCAATGCAACCACTTCAGCCAGAACTTTATATATATCACCAGAATTAGCCGATTTTCGTGTTACCAAACAGGCTGGACACCTCAATCCCGAGAGCCTTAAGTCCAGTCCCGATAGTTATATACAAATCGGACATTAATTATAAGCTGATAGATGTAATGAGTGAGAATCAAATCTAAGAACTTTTAGAGATCCTAAACATTGTTACATAATAATGTCTCATTGCAATTACTAGGATAGAATTCATATGATGGAGTGTTTGCAATAAGTAAAAATAGAGGTGTTTTTAGCTTCTTCTTTTTTTGAAAAGAGAAGACTTAATTATTATTAATGATGAAAGTAACAAGAGACAAAGGAATAGAATAGCTCAAGGCTACACCGGAGTGAAACATAGAATTGATTAACCTTTGAGGACCCATCCAATTCGCTAGCCCCGCATCATGGTAGACTAAACTAAAAGCATCTATCACTGAAATTGCTACTAAAATGAGAAATAACTAAACAAGGATTCTTTAAATAAAAACAATAACATAATTCAAGCGTCCCGGTTTTACCAGCCACCAGGAAGGTAGAAGGGGCTTTTCCGTCCATTTCCAAAGGAGCATCCCGATTTTACCTGCCATCGGGAAGAGAGAAGAGGTTTGACCATCCACCTCCAAAGGAATCATCTTGTTTACGGGACTTGATAGTATTTTAGGCGGTGCTATTCTAGAAGCGCCGCCGGCTTGCCGTTTTTTTATTGCTTGCCATCAACCTCCTCAATTGACATTCGTTCATAAGTCTTATTTAAGCTCTCCATTGATGGCTAACAAAAGGAACGCCGGATCCGAGACAAAGAAAACAAAGCAGCAGAATTCACGAACAAAAGCAAGAACATGTTCACAATTGGTACGGACCAAACCCCCGACCAGAGAAAACTCAGCCGGACGGAACAAAATGAGCATAGAATCAGTCGGAAAAGAAATCACAGGCGATGAGAAAACCTGAAAGGAGATCGCCGAAAATACCCTAAAAACCATCCACGTTCATTGCTGAGATGGAAGAAGAAGAGATAGACGTCCGCCGCACTCTTCTAAGTAGATCAGATCTCCGCCGCACTCTATGGTTCTATCATCGATCGCCCCACTCTAAGGTTTTTTATCCATCGACACAAGATTTCACCAATCAAGACAATTATTTCGAGATATTTTGAATAGGTGTTTTTCACCTTTTGACTTAAAGAAATTGAAATAGGTGTTTTCAAGTGACAAATTCTACTTAAATTTAACACTTAAAAGTTAAAAGGAAGGAGCATGTAGAGAGGTGTTTTAAATTGTTTTTCATTTTTCTATTACACAAAAAAATTATTTTATAAAGAGAAAAATAATTTAAATATCCCAAACTTCGAGGGATATGTGATAAACATCTCAAACTTGCACATGTAATATATACTCTCTCTGTCCCTATATAAAATGTTCCGGTTGAATGGCACACATCTTTAGGCAAAACACTGTGGCACCGTTTGGACATGTTTGGATATGTTTGACACTATTTTACACTGTTTTGCACTGTTTTGCACTGTTTGACTACTGGAAAATATGTTTGAAATCGACTCCCTTTGCACAATCAGCCGCATCATCGAGCACCAGACCCTCATCTTCGCCCTCCATAGTCAATTTATAGTAATGCTCCTCAAGCTTCATGAAATCACCAAGTCTGCCTGCAAGCTCGCTGCCCTGCTTCGGCGTCGTCATGTGCGAAACCCAATGGCCAAACAAACTGTCGGCCGCAGGCGTTAAACTCCACCTAAAAAACCAGATCCTAGTGAATCCTAGAAAATGACAGCCAGTCTTCAAAGACCTTTCCTCTTGAGACTTCTTGTAATCACGGAACCCTAAATAAAAACTAATGAGCAAAAGAAATTTATTTTTATTTCCATTTTTTAAAAAATAAGTAGTGTGGGGGATCTGATCATACTTAATGAATAAATGATTTACTACTTTTTGTAAATAATTTTTTTACCACTATTAACAGGAAATTCCGTGATATAAAGTGAAAAAAATATGAAATTTAAAATTTAAATTGGAAATAATTACCACCTTGAAACTGTACTATAATACATGTCATTTCTATGCATTAATATGGAGTAATAATGTTGCATTTAATCGGACTGTTTTTCATCAAATATCATACTAGGCAAAAATAAATTAGATCAAATAAGACTTACAAAAATAAGAAGATTTATCAGACAAGGGCCGTGTTTGGCAATAGGCGATTAGCGGTTAGCGGGTAGCGGATAATGTTAGCGGGTTAAAAAAAGCGGATTGAATCAGTGGGTTTGACCAGCAAATTAATTTGGCGGGTTGCAAAAAAATGTTTGGTAACTTAGCTGTTTATTTATAGCGGTTAGTAGATAAAAAGACAAAAAAGGACAATGATGCATTTTAAATATGTAATTAGAAAAAAAAGGACAAAAAAGGACAAAAAAGGACAAAAAAGGACAATGCTACGAAATTCGATAATTAGATGGACTTGAAATTTAGCTCAAGTTTTCCCTATATGAAACTTCTAGCATGAGTACTTATAACTGTAAAGTATGTTTTGAATTCTTATAATTACTCACGTTTTTTCAATCCACTAGTTGGTTCTGTGAAGAAATATTATTTTGAATAGTTTCATTGTATCCTAAACATGGTGTGTCGTCAAATTGTAATTTTCAAAATTACAAACCTTGTGCTAAAAGGCTATGGTTATTCACAAATTAAAGCAGCAAACCTTTTTTTATTAAGAAAACTACATAAGCTTTGACATTCAAACACATGCACACATATGCATGACACGTACACACACACATCACACATATTTGAACACCTCATCTCACATATAAGTTTCTCACATATGTAAAAGGAGGGTTTATGCTGTAGCGATAAATAAAAAGTAAACTTATCTTCGAAGTTGGAGCAGCCATATTGGTATGAATTTGGATCTCTACGACAGTGAAAGGATTTGGAGTTGATATAGCTCTGCGGAATATGGAAGGGCAAGTTTGAGAAGATGTACGATTTTTAAAACGCCGAATTCTAAACGTTGCACATTGCAGCGATTTCTTTTTTGGCGTTTTAACCCAAACATCTAAAGCAACCCGCTATCAACCAAACACTTAAAATCAGCACTTTCAAGGATAAAAAACGCCAAACTCAGTCAAACTAGCCAATTTTTAGCGGAACCGCCGTTTTCCAAACATGGCCTATGATTAGATTGGATTAGATCGAAACATATTGATCCAGGATGTCCTTGGCCATGTTTGGAAAACGGCGGTTCCGCCAAAAATTGGCTGGTTTTACCGAGTTTGGCGTTCTTGACCCTTGAAAGCGCTGATTTGAAGTGTTTGGTTGATAGCGGGTTGCTTTAGAGGTTTGGGTTAAAACGCCAAAAAAGAAATCGCTACAATGTGAAGCATTTAGAATTCGGCGTTTTAAAAATCGTACATCTTCTCAAACTTGCCCTTCCATATTCCGCAGAGCTATATCAACTCCAAATCCTTTCGCTGTCGCAGAGATCCAAATTCATACCAATATCGCTGCTCCAACTTCGAAAATAAGTTTACTTTTTATTTATCGCTGCAGCATAAACCCTCCTTTTACATATGTGAGAAACTTATATGTGAGATGAGGTGTTCAAATATGTGTGATGTGTGTGTGTACGTGTCATTCATATGTGTGCATGTGTTTGAATGTCAAAGCTGTTGGAAATAAGTGAAGGAAGATTTGGGAAATTGGGAGGCTAAATTAGAAATATTATGGAAGAGATATTTGAACAAAGGGGAACAACTCAATTTGCTTGATTTGCTTGATACAAAGTGGTGGTAGGGGAGCTCTATTTATACTAGTACAAAAGCATCTAGACTCTTTTTATAATTAATGCATTCTAGATAATTCTATACAATTAATGATAGGAGAGTTCTAGAGACCATATCTTCTAGAGAAGCTCTAGAATTTATTTCTTCTACATTTTTCTATCACTTGGGCCTTCCCAACAACAACTAAAACTAAATATTAATTAGGCCCAAAAACAAGTTTAATTTTCAACATCCCCCCTTAAACTTGTTTTTGTAACTCCGATCATGGTCCTCAACCTTCGAAAATCTTCGTGTTTGAGCGGCTTCGTGAAAATGTCGGCGATTTGATCATGGGACCTTGCATACTTTACTTCAACCTCTTTTCTTTCAATGCATTCTCGAATGTAGTGATAGCGTGTATCAATGTGCTTGCTACGGTCATGGAATACCGGATTCTTTCCCAATGCTATTGCCGACTTATTATCCACATATATCTCCGTAGCTTCCTTTTGTGGCATGCCTATTTCCTTGAATAGATTTCGAAGCCATATAGCATGACAAACACATGAATAGCCGGCAACATATTCAGCTTCACATGTGGAGAGGGTCACAATGGGTTGCTTCTTTGAACTCCAAGTAAAAGCCGTATTATCCAAAAGAAAGACAAATCCGGTGGTACTCTTGTGATCATCAACGTCTCCGGCCCAATCACTATCACTATACCCAACAAGCTTGAAATCTTTACAAGAATTGTAAAACAAGCCAAAGTTAAGAGTACCTTTGATGTAGCGAAAAATTCTCTTGGCGGCCTTCCAATGAGAGGTTCTTGGATCTTCCATATACCGGCTAATGAAACCAACTCCGTACAAAATGTCGGGCCTCGTACAAGTCAAGTATCGTAAGCTCCCAACTAAGCTCTTGAATATTGTGGGCTCCACTTTTTCTTCATCACCAAACTTAGATAATTTTACACCACAATCCACCGGGGTATTGATTGGATTACAATCATCCATTTTAATGTTTTCAAGGATTTTCTTTGCATATCCTTCTTGACCGATAAAAATTCCACTTTCACTTTGTTTCACCTCAATTCCCAAATAATAAGACATTAAGCCCATATCGGTCATTTCGAATTCTTGACTCATTGCCTTTTTGAAATTCTCAAATGAATTGGGATTATTTCCTGTGAATATTAGATCATCAACATAAAGGCAAACAATCAAGATATCTCCATTTCCTTCCTTTTTGACATAAAGAGCATGTTAATGGGGACATTTTATGAAATTATTTACTTGGAAATACTTATCAATTCTAGTATTCCAAGCTCTTGGGGCTTGCTTCAAACCATAAAGTGCATTTTTCAATCTTAGAACTTTGTCTTCATGCCCTTTTATTTTTTATCTCGGTGGTTGTTCTAAATAAACTTCTTCTTCTAACTTTCCATTTAAAAATGCGGACTTTAGGGATAAAAAGTCTAACTACATGTATGATGGTTCAACAAAAAATAAGTGTATGCGTTTCATTTGTCATTCAAAAAATTCTACTCTACTTTCAAATGAAGCCGATTATCATTTAAGCATTTTAACAAACACTTGATAGGTATAAGAGACTTATATATTATTACATCTTAAGCTAACCTAGCATAAAGTATTATTCATTATGCCTAAACATCACCTTTACACAGAACAAATTGAACATTCAAGTAACAGAAACATCACGTTGATTAAGAGAGTTATCAAATAAATAAATAAATTTGTTAAAAAGAACACAAAAAACTACTGCGCATACTAATGGAAGAAACGAATTGATCAAAGAAAAATTTGAAACACACTGATTAATTCAATATTAGAAATTAAAAATTACCAAATGAAAGTTGAAACTCAGAAGATTCCTCAATACAGCCTTCGCCGTAGTAAGTCGGATAGAATAGCAAGGTAGAAACTCACGAAGATTGAATCCTTTTATGAGACCAGCGAACGAAGATTCAACCAAGAGATCAAAGATGAAGAAAGTGATTGACGGATAAAGATGTTACCTAGGTCTGGTTGTCTGGATGAGGGGATCGATTGAATGTGCAAAAAGGTCTAAAGATGGTTAAAATAACGAAAAGGCCATTAATGAAACAGAAGATTAAAGGAAACACGCGTTGGAGATGAGCCTAGATCGAACGGTGTATATAACTTCTCATTTTTCAGCCTAAGATGGACTTCTCATGGGATTTTTTCCCTATATATATATAAAGAATGGATTTGAACCATAGGGAGAATATATTAAGGATGTCTTTAATTAGATTGACTTTGGGGAAATGCAGATAAGATCAGACTAGTAGTTATAGAGTGGACATCAATTTAATTAGATCAATTCAGACATGATTACACCAAATTAGTTCTGAGTAGAATATTATTCCCCAACAAAAACAACTAAAGTCAAAATTAATAGTGGTCGAAATGTCGAATACAAAAGAATGCGTAGTGCTCATGTGTTATAAAGAACGTAAATCAAACAAAAATAGAAGTATTAGAAGTAATTCAATACACGTTCATATTGGAGTAAAGTTTGGGGTGTCATACTTTATTAGAGTCTAAGTGTGAGCTGTAAATATAGAAATACCAGCATGAAATTATGTGCATTTACGATTTTTCAAGAGATATTAGTGCAACCAATGTGTAATTCGAAGTTTTGAAATAAAAAACCTTTTGAAATAATTCAATAAACATTTGAGTTTGAAAATGAAAATGGATATAGCAGCATGAAGTCTAAAATATGAATGGAATTAATGGCTTATATATATATATATATATATATATATATATATATATATAAATACACACACATACATATATACAGGGGTGGATCTTAGCCTGGCCAGGGGTGGGCTTCAGCCTAGGGCAATTTTTTTTAATAGTATTGGTACATTTTCAATTCTCAGCCCACCCTAAATTTAATTGTAAGCCCACCCCACAAATAATTCCCAGCCCAACCCAGCCCAGCCCATAGAAACAAGTCAAGAACCCAGCTTACCGCTTACGTGAAGTCGCGAAGGGACGAAGTACGAACGGAATGGGCGAGTGGGCGACGGTCAACGGAAGTGCTCCGCACGACCGCACTGAAGTAGGCGTCCAGGCTGAAACCAGAGCCGTGAACAGCAGTGACGCGCCGACGCTCTACCTCCGGCCTCCCTCTCTTGACCGGTTGTTTAGCGACCAACAGTCCAGGCAATTCCTCTTGGCTCTTGCCTCTTGGTGACTTGGTGAGTTTCTGTTGAATTTTGATTTGTGAATCAGTGAAGTTATGCAATTCTGCTGTGAATCTGTGAACTGTGATTGACCGATTGTGTATTAAACTATTAATAATGTATTTTTATTTTTAGCATTGTAGAGTTTTAGGGCTAGGGTATCATACAATGATTTATTTAAATAGTTCCTTATTAGTTATATTTTTTATATAAGTATTTTAATTTATACCAATATTGAAAATGTTTTTTTAGAATGGATATTGAACATGTTGCCAAGAAGGGAAAAAGTTGTTTTTGATCATTCTTTTCAAAAGTGAATCGTCAAACTGGTAAAGGGAGTTCTGAACCTATACCTACGATAGTGCAAGATCTATTCAATGAGGTTCCTCCACATGCCCTAGTCCCTAAAATCCAAAATATCTCAAATTCGGAGTTGCCTCCATCTTTTTCCATTGCGAGGGATCCGGGAAAAAGAAAGCAAATTCATGAATATCATGTCAATGTGCGAGATGAAGTGAGACGTGCATATCTAAATGTTGGGCCCTATCAACCGAGAATGGAACCTTATCCAGTTAAAAAGTTTGAAGCTCAAAACCGAAGTTTTCAGAAACACTGGTTTGACAAGTTTAATTGGTTAGAGTACTCACCTGTGACTAAAAAAGCTTACTGTTTTTTCTGCTTCCTTTTCTTGAGTGACATTCATATGCATACTACTTCTGCATTAGTTAACAAAGGATTTCAAAGTTGGAAGAGGGTAAATCAAGGAAGTCAATGTGCATTTCTTCAACACATTGGTATTTCAGAAAAATCACCTCATATGATGTGTGTTCAAAGAGATGAAAATATGAGGCAACCATCTGGCCATATTAAAAATGTTTTTCACGCCCAATCGCAACAAGAAAAGGAGAAAAATCGTTTGCGATTGAGAACTTCTATTATACATGTCCGATTGTTAGCACTTCAAGGTTGTGCCTATCAGGATCTACTCATTGGGGTTCTCACTATAGCTCCGTGAAGAGTTTGATAGATATGTATGCCACAACTTGCAAAGTGTTTGAACATTTGGTTGAGAACTCTCCAAATGGGAGATCTAAAGTTGAAGTTCTTGGGACCTATAGAAAAATGACAAGCTTTGAATTCGTGTTTGTCTTACACTTGATGCATAAACTTCTGAGAAAACTGATGCTCTTTGCCAGGTTCTTCAAAAAAAACTCTTGATATTTTGAGTGCTATTACATTTGTTGGTACTACTAAAACTATCCTTTCAGAGTTAAGAGCATCTGGTTGGGAGGATTTTCTTAAAGAAGTCAAGAGTTTTTGCTCTTCAAATGATATTGATGTTCCGAATTTGGGTGATCCTTATAAGATTGGGTTTTCTCGTTTCCAACCAACAATAGAACATCATTATCATTTTGATGTCTTCAATGAAGCGATTGATTTTACTTTGACTGAGTTAGACACGATCTTTAATGATACATCCATGGAACTACTTCAACTTAGTCTTGCTTTGGATCCCAAAACTCCTTCAGCTCATTTAATAGTGAGGATATCTGTAAACTTGCAAACAAGTTTTATCCTGTAGATTTCACGGATCAAGACATTGTCTCACTTGAGTATGAGTTGATTCATTACAAGCATGATATTGTTTCAACATCTGAAGCGTTGACACTTGTTGAGTTATGTCAACATTTGACGGAGAGTGGGAAATCAGAAATCTATGTTATGTTGACGAGACTAATTCATCTAGTTTTGACCCTACCTGTTTCTACTGCTATTAAGGAAAGAGCATTTTCAGCAATGAAACATGTGAAGTCGGCACTTCGTAACAAAATGGGAGATGATTTTCTTGAAGATTCATTGATGATCTACATTGAACGAGACTTTGTCAATAATATAGATGTAGATTCTATTATCGATGAATTTTATACTTTGAAGTCGCGTAGGACACAACTTAAATGATGTTTTAATGAATTTTTAAGTGTTGACGACCTGATTTATTATTATGTATGTGTTTTTCAATTTTTTCCCCATCCCACCATTGTGACTTTCTGGATCCGCCCATATAAATATATATATACAGGGAGTGGATAAGGTGAGAAGTGCTCTTAGACTGAGAACTGCGAAGTTTAACTAATAGAGTAAAAACACGAACATTTAACCAATAAACAATAACTTATAAACCCCGTCGAAAGTAATTACGAAAATGCCACCGCAAAAAAATAAGCCTAGAAACCTTGAAATTTTTTGGACACGGTGGCATTTTCGTAATTATGATGGAGAGCTTTATAAGTTATGATTTATTGGTTGTAAGTTCCTATATTCAGTCTATAAGTTTACTGCGTTGTAAGATTAGATGCAAATCCAAGGGTTGAGATTGCTTCTCACTTCTCATTTTAAGGGAGACTTCTCACCTGATCTTCTCTCTCTCTCTCTCTCTGTATATATATATATATATATATATATATATATATCTGTGTGTGTGTATATATATTATATATATATATATGGGGAGCGGTTCCGGTAAGAACAGAGTCCCAAGAGAGAAATAAGAATGAATCTGGACCGTTGGATTGTATTATGTGGAACGGAAATGTGCATTTGATGAAACTGAAATGTGTATTACATGATACAAAAATGTGCAGAATAAAAATTTAAACTCAATTGTGCATTAGGTGAAATTGAAATGTGCGGAATAAAATGTACAAAAATAACATCACATCATACCTTTTATTCGGCACATTTCAGTTTCATCTAATGCACAATTCAGCTTCACTTAATGACATTGTATCATACGCTTTGTGTTGCACATTTCAACTTTACCTACTGCACATTACAATTTCATCTAATGCACATTGAATTTTACTTAAAGCAAATCTAACGATCCAGATTCGTTCTCATTTCTCTCCTAAGATCATGTTCTTATTTGAACCAAAACCTATATATATGTATATGTATATGTATATATATATATATATATATATATATATATATATATATATATATATATATATATATATATATATATATAAGGGATGGTTCAAATAAAAACAGCTTTTTCAATGCAAAGTCAAAATAAATCTTGTGCATTCATTTCCACATCTAATGACTCTAATCCTAGTAGAGTCTTTTACTATAAAAAAAGCTTTAAAAAGCAAGGAATTTCTTATTCTTATTTGACTCAATTTGTTTATAAGTATTTCATCGAAAACTAACAACAGCCTGCCAAACAAAAGCTAAAAGAAAAAACAGAACAGGTATTATTGGCATAAAATCGATGATCTTATAATATACAAAACGAAGTGGAATGTTGGCCAATATTCCCGCTCAAATATGTCTCAATCGTGGTGAAAATTCGGTCAAACAATTCCGCTGGAAAGTCTGAAATTTAAGGCACATGTTGCGTGTTGGAACCTGTAATACCCGAGGGTTAAACCAGTGAATGGATAGACGAAAAAGGTGTCAGTTTAAGTTTTCTTTATACAGAGGAGGTAAAAAGACTTCAAGAAAGATAGCATCTGCATCTCAATCTTCTCGACCGTTCTTTGGCCATCGATCGATTGAAAGCAGGCCAGAGGTTTCCAGAGGAGGGCGTTATAAGAGCTGATATGTGGTCATCCGTTTTCATGGGTAATCGTCGCCAACATCTCGGTGTATACTTCCCTTTCAGCGTCCGTTACAACTAGGAATGAGATATGAATAGGCTAAGGATATTTGGCAGGGACAACTAGCAATGACCTATTCATCTATCGGCGCCGGTGATTGGTCATGTGCTACAGCTGCGACCACATTCGGTTGTGGCAAGCTTGCGCATTCGATGACGAGTGGAAGGTGATTGTGTCCCCAACTTT